CAGAACTTAAAGTACAATTAAATAAAAAAAAAAGGAAATAATGCTAAGGGCTCAGGTAAGTGACGAGGAGAGAGCACAGCCAGGATAGGGGCTGCCCTTCCTGTTTCCTAGGAAAATGCTCCCTCCCAGATACCCATGTTTATATCATCCATATGCTTACAGCAGATGAAAATGAAGGAGGACTAAGCCCAAGATTCTCCAAACAGAATACAAACCCAGGAAATAGATCCAATGAAATGATATGTGAATAAAAATTATTTTGGAAAAGTCTGGAGCAAATGTATTTCAGAAGAAAGAAGAATAAATTATCCAGGGTATTTAAAACTCAGAACTCAGACTTAAGTGGCTTTTGGTCCTGAGCAAAACTATGTGTGATATGCATTTCGTAAGTCACAGTTTAGGCAAATGGTCATTATATAGTGGATTAGAACCACCCCTGGGAGCAAAACAAAACACATAATTTTAATTAACCTTCTTGTATAAGACATGTAAGTTTAATATTGGGAAAAAATTACCTGTATTATAAAATAATTTAATAATGATGTTTGAGGTCTTCTAACCAAGATAATTTATTTTGCTTTATATGAAAAATTTTAAGTCTAAACATAGGAAAGGTTTTAGGCAAAAAAATATATATATAAATTATTTTCATGACAGATATACAGGTTTGGATTTAAATATAAATTCTATCTGGAAGTTGAAATTCTTTACTGTCTTTGTGAAGATAATATTCAACAGAACATTATGCTTGTTTGTACATACTAGCTACTAGGATCATGAATCTGAAGAAATTATATACACACACACAGATATATATATATATATATATATATATGTATATAGATATATATATATAATTATTATATAGAGACTATATGTATACTTGTCACTGCCAGTTGTTATTTTGACAGATTAAATGAAAACTGAGTAGATAATTTTTACCTCACTAAACCAAAAACACTCTTTATTGGTTATAAACAACATTGAAATACACTCATGCAAAGCACATCAGAATGGTTTATGACTTTTTAAGGAAAAATATTACATTCAATGGGATGACTGAAAATTTGCCTTCAACGTAGCTACTCTATTCTATGTGAAAAATGATATAATTTAAAGAGACTGCCAAAACATAGATATATTATTTTTATTTGTCTTTGACAGCCATGGTACAGCCCTTAATACTCACACATACGCACTTATCTTCCCTTTCCAGGTTTCTGGAATGGTTAGGCTTTGTTACCCTTACATCCAGGTAGCAATGTGCAACTGGTTCTGGTCCAGCAGCAACCAGCAGTGACATGGGTCACTTCCCAGCTAAAGTGCTTTATTGCTGATATGAATCTCCAAGCACTCTTTCCCTCTATGATAATCATGGAGGAAGACTCATATTCTAATGGTGGAACTATGGATTTGAAAGTTCATGGGTCAACAAAATCTCCACTTGGAGGAAACCTTCCTGAGAGAGTTACTTGGATGCACAAAAATTTAGTATGACTCAGAAAGAAAACTTTGGGATGTGAAGCCACTAACTTGTTTTGATCGCTATTTCAACACAACCTAGAATATACTAATGAATCTAACTTTGGACAGCACTTTTCATGTCATGATATTTCCATGTAGAGTTTAATGTACAAGTATTTGTGTTTGGACCTATTAAATTTAATTCAAAACGCTTATTAGAAGCTGAGGCCAAACTAAAAGTAAAAAGGGAAAAACATGCCCAAATTTAGTCAAATATAAGAGTCTTCATCTTTACACAATAATTTGGAATATCAAAGAATGATGGCAGAGAGTTAATACTTCAAAATTGCATTGTAAGCTATATTTCTCTTAGAAAATGATTTCCTGACCCATATAAACAGGTATTTTTTAAGCAGCAACCTTTACCATGTAAATATCCTATAGCAGTCAGTATCTCTCATGTACAGGGTATTATCGTTGGCAGCAGGACATGAAAAGAAATCCTAAGGGTGTTTATGTTTAGGTGTCTTATTTCTGGAGGGCAGGAAATGACAAATACAGCCAAAAGAAACCCATCCTATGCCAGCAGTCCTTAGAGACTTTAATAAAGTTCAAAATTTTTATGTTAATGTTACTATTCTTTTCTTAGTGCATTTAAAAATAGCACATTTTAAGAAATAAATGTTCTCTTCCTGAGAATGAAATATTTTTAAGAGAAGAGCTTTGATAGAGATTTTCTTCATTCAGGAGACTATACTTATGAGAACTAGAGGGAAGTAATGAAGGTCATAAGAGAGATAATGTTTGAATACCAAAATTGCTTGTCACTTTCGGTTGCCTTGCCTAAAGAAGAAAACATATTTGGTTGATTCTCCTAACATCTTGTTACAACTTATTCAAGGGAAATTTCTGAAGTGATGACATTAATAGGAAATCCTTGTAATAATCACTTTTGTATTCTAACTGCCTTCTCTTCTTGGTCTTGTGTCATCTTGTCATCTACTTCTTCACATCAACAACCTGTTAGGTGGAAATACTGATATTCTAAAATTGACTAAGCATAAGCATGAGGAATATTTTTACTTTGTTTTAAATTTTTAAAAAAGTTGTGAGGTTTCTTTTTGTGTGTGTGTATATGTGTAGCACTATAAGGATAGAACAGAAAGAAACATTTTTAGAGTCATTTGTTAAAGGCAAAATAATACACTCTCCACCAAAAAAAAGGTGCCTACGTCCTAAAAATCAGAACCTGTGATTATATTATGTTATGTGGCAAAAGGGAATTAAAATAAAGTTGCCAATTTTAAGGATGCTTATTTCCTTAAACTAGGGAGATTATACTGCATTTTTCAGATGGTCCTAATGGATCCTTAAATGTAGAAAAGAGAGACGTATGAGGGTCAGCGTCAGAATGATATGATGTGAAAAAGTTTCAACTTGCCGTTGATAGCTTTGAAGAGAGAAGAAGACAGCTTAAGAGCCAAGGGATATGAACGTCCTTTAAAGCTGAAAAAGGAAAGGATATGGATTCACTCTCAGAGGCTCCAGAAAGAAATGCAGCCTTACTGCCACCATGATTTCAGAGTTCAGATTTCTAACCTAACACAACGATAAGATAATTAAATTTGTGTTGTAAGCTAGTCAATTTGTGGTCATTTACTACAGTTGTGATAGAAAACTAAGATCTTTATAATGGCTTGTTAGAATAAAACAATTTGAAAACCACTGTTCCTTAATTCTTTGAAAAAGCACTGTATACAGTAACCAACTGTTCGTAATTTCAACCAACAATCAAATAATAATAATAACAAAATAGAGGCAAGGCATGGTAGCTCATGCCTGTAATTCCACCATTTTGGGAGGCCAAGGTGGACGGATTGAAGCCAGAAGTTCAAGACCAGCCTGGCCAACATGGTGAAACCCACTCTCTACTAAAAAATACAAAAAAATAGTCAGGCATGGTGGTGCGTGTCTTTAGTTCCAGCTACTCAGGAGGCTGAGGCAGGAGAATCTCTTGAACCTGGGAGGCAGAGGCTTGCAGTGAGCCAAGATTGCATCATTGCATTCCAGCCTGGGTAACAGAGAGAGAGACTATGTCTCAAAAAATGTAAAAAAATAAAAATAAATGAGTTCAAATGGGAATTTTACTGGAAATGAGCATCGTTCTCTAGACTCTGTTTTGGGAAATAGAATCTAATTCCTTAAAGAAATGAATGAGCATGAAAGATTTCCCCAATGCTTGAATTTTCTCTGATGCATCTCTGCTGGGAAATTGAGAAATGGACTACACTCTCTCGTAAGATCTTTCTACGCAACAAGTTTATAACTGAAGAAGAAATTATAACAAGTGAGAATCCTGAAAGGTCAAGCCATAAAGTTCACTACTGAGTTGGACTGGGTCACAAGCTGGGAATGTTATTTAATACTGAGACAGATTGTAAACTTGCCAATCCAATCAGACTGTACTTTGATGCTATGCTTTCACTTTGTAGGCTCTGGTTTATGGCAGTTTATGTTTATTTTCACATATACTTTCCTTTCTTCCTACTTTATAAAATTCTTGAAATTGATACTTCTGCATCCTACTTAAGACAAGGCATTAATTCAAGCCAGCTAGTAAGCTCCCACCCTCTCTTGGTTCCAATTGCAACCCCATTATTGTATAAAATTTCATGTTTACAACATTCTAACTCTATGTTAAGAATAACAACCTCAGTCATCAAGGCTTATGGGGTTTTCCACATTTCCATATCAGTCATGAAGAAAACATGCACTAAAACCAAACATTTTTAAATGTATTTTGTGGAGTAATAACATTCATCTAACTGCGGATAGAAACTTTTTATTCAGCACAGAGATCATTGCAGTGATTCCAAATGTTTAGTCAGGACAGTGAAGACAGACTCTTTTCAAGCCACTTAAAATCCTGGTGGGGAAATAAACATGGCAAAATAAACATTTAAGCCTCAAAAACATATTAAAATACATAGACCATTGGAGAAGTTTAAGGGACATACTAAAACTATGACAGGTGTTTAGTAATGATAAATAGGATTTTTGACACCATTTCAATTAACTAGTCCTTTGAGATTATGCTCATTGCTAAATTAGCTAATTGAAATAGATTGTAAGAAGTTATTAAATACTTAATTCTGGTTTTCTTCAGTGTGAAGCCTATTCAATTAGCATTTAAAAATATCTGAACATTTGGTATCACATAACTGAAACATTAAAATGGTCTCAGAATTTTTCATAATAAAAATAGATATTTTGCTGTTAAAGAAACATAAACATGGATAGACTTAGGTATATTTTTCCTTCCTCTTCTTCTTAACCCAGATAGGAAAAGGCAAGAATCAAGAAATTTGAAACCTTATCACTACTTTGCCACTAAAGAGTAAACATTGGGCTAATTGTTTTACTTTCTGGGTCTCAGTTTCCATAAGTATAAAGTAAAATATTAGACGTATAAAGTAAGTCTCAGTTTCCATAAGTATAAAGTAAAATAATCATTCAACGATTAAAGAAAAAGAAAACAGAGAACTTCCTAGACTTCTGTATAGGCAATTGGAATACAAAAATAAACAGATTAATGCACAGAATTTATAACTCAATTTCCCTTGCTGCATAAATGGCATTTATTTACATGCTATAAATAATTACAACATAATACTTAGGCAGTTTAATACTGGCAATTATACGTCTTGTACCTATTAATGTAAGTTGTCTCATGTTTAAAATTAAAGTTTATATGATGAAAAAAATCAGAACTTACTTGAAAAATAATACCTGGAACATTGGTAAACAGCTGATAAAGATGATGATTTTTAAAATGCAATTTTAATGTGATAAAAACCAAAATGCTACTAATAGGTCAAAACCCAGAGTGGAAAAAACAATTATATAAGATTAGTTTATTAAATTAATGATTTGTGGACAGGATTACCGAATCACTTTTTATAGTGGATGCTAAATGTTTTCGTAGAACTTCTAGTTTATAAGACAAAGCTTGAAGCAAAGAGAAGGCTCATTCTAAAACACAATGTTGATCTGATGCTTTTTGCTGTTGTGTTTTTTTGTTGTTTTTTTTTTTTTTTTTTCAACTGCTGGTATGAAGCAAACCATAATTATACCTACATGTCAGAAAAGGAGAAAGAAAATAAAATAATGAGGTTTCCAAATATTTAAACATTTTAAAATATGTGCAAATTTGACTCTATCAAACCAACTTTTGCTTCGTTCTCTCTTTCTCTCTCTCGTCTTCCCCCTAACCTTGCCATTTCTCTTCTTTGAGCTTTTCCATTTTTTTCAAAATATATTATTATTTTATGTATTTATTTTGTCATACATTCTCTCTTTTAAATAAAATTGTCTTTCTTATACCCTTTTTTTACTCTCTCATCTCTCCTATCATCCTATTCTCTAATTTTTTTAGATATTATTTATTCATAATTCCTGGTCTGAGACCACACAAAACCGTACTACCAACAAGGAATAGGACATTTGATCCTCCCTAGTAAAATCCTAAAGAGTATTTATGGTATGCCCATAATTTTCCTACTCCATTCTTGAGAATTCAGTCTTGACTCACCTTCATTTTACCTTCCAATTGCCATTATTGGCTGTCCTGCCTCCAAGCCAAGACTTGATAGCTCACACTCTAATGAAATAATTCATCAGTTCCATTTCATAACCCTAAAGCGTCTGCTCCCAAACTGTCATCAAAGAGTTTTCTTATTAATGTCTCTAGACTCGACTTGGGTATAGTTTGGACAATTTACCAGTATTTGCTAAACACAGACACTGGTTGAGAAAAAGACTGTTACTCTTACTGACATTCTGTTGTTCGGAGGCCCTTTCTCTAAGTAACAACTGACATGTATTTCTCTAGCTTTGGAAATTACCTTCCCATACATTCTTCAGTTTATCTTTTATTGCTCTGTATTAGTCAAGATTCATTCAGTTGAAAGTGAGAGATCTATATTTTCACCCATGTTAAACCACAGGAAAGGAAAAAATGTTGCCTAGATAAACAAAAGTCCAAGAACAGACTGTCTTCATATTCAGTTTGATCAAATTATGTCATCACATAATTTGATCTTTTTTTCTCCTTCTTAATTTCTCAGCCCTACATCCTTCATGTATGTGCTTTTCTGTTACATGGACTGAATTTCTTCATTATAACATTTCTAAGACAATTTTCCATAGACTTAAAATCAAAGGTTAGTCTTCTTTATTTCTGGAAGAAATTTGAAGACAGGAAGCTTCCCTTAGGCTGATGCCTTTCTCTTAAATAATTCTGCAAGATTTGGTATTCTTTGTGGCCTAGTCTATACAATGCACACATCCTTGTAATGGTAGGTGTAGAAGAGATCGGAGATTATGGTATAAAGCTTTGATTGAAATTTCTACCAAAATTGTATGGAATGGAGAAGATATTCCCAAAGGGATACAGAAAGTAATCCTGAGCAGACAAAAATTGCATTTGGAGTAGTCTAATCTACATAAACTCCTTCAAAATGATACAATCTGGGGGGTAGCTTTATAAACTTCAGAACAACCGAGCTATTATAGATATCAGAAGAGTGTAGAAGACTAGTTAAATTCCAACAAATAGAAAATGCCTGTAAGTATAGACTGAATAATTTAATCAATTTTTATGTTTCAACATTTTTCCTAAATTATTAAAATTAGGCTGCAGTTACCAAATTTTTTCATATCACATGTAGTTAAAATAAGTTCCCATTCATTAGTGAATCAAAAGCTGGGAATTTCAATGACTTTTATTTTCTTTCACAATAGTCACTCTTCCTCTTTTAGCACTTAAGTTTTCTCTCAGGAAATACATTTAGTTCATTCTCAGTCTAAAACCATAAGCTGTCTGGGCACAGTGGCTCATGCCTGTAATCCCAGCACTTTGGGAGGCCGAGGTGGGAGGATCACCCGAGGTCAGGAATTCGAGACCAGCCTGGGCAACATGGTGAAACCTTGTCTGTACTAAAATTACAATATTTAGCTGGGCATGGTGGTGGGCACCTGTAATCCCAGCTACTTGGGAGGTTGAGGCAGGAGAATCACTTGATCCTGAGAAGCAGAATTTGTACTGAGCTGAGATTGTGCCAATGCACTCCAGCCTGGGTGGCAGAGTGAGACTCTCTCTCTAATAATAATGATAATGATGATAATAAAAATACCGTAAGCTATAAGAGTACCTGCCCAAGGTATCCCAGCTCACTAAGAATGAACTGTAGAGCCCTTAAAATAACCTTCAAGACTTGACTACAGAATCATGTCCAGGTACCTCTCTGACCTCGTGTTCTCTCACTCTAATCCACCAGCTCTGCTCCAGCCATGCTACGTCCCCATACCAGCCCCTTACAGTTATGCCAAGCACACTCCCATCTCAAGGCCCTTGCACTTACTTTCTTTTCATTCTGGGACATTCTCATGTCCATAACCACATGGCTCACTCCCTCACATGACTGAGGTCTTTGTTTAAGTATTTCCCTTTCAGGGAGGACTATATTAATCATTCTATCTAAAACAAACAACCAAACAGACAGACAGACAAACCTTCTTATCCTGTTAGCCTCTCTAATTTAAAAAAAATTATTATTATTTTTAATTGACATAACTTTACCTATTTATGGAGTATGAAGTGATATTTCAATATGTGTGTACAATGTATAATGATCAAACTGGGGTAATTAGTATATCTGTCACCTCAAATTTTTTTTGTTTTGTTTTGGAAACATTAAAAACATTCTAACTGAAAATATACAATATTGTGAACTATAGTCACCCTCCAGCACTATAAAATGCTAGAACACATGACTCCTATCTAGCTGTATATTTGTATTTATTAACCAACTTCATTCTGCCTCCACTTTTCTCCACCTTTCTAAGCCTCTGGTAAGCACTATTCTACTCTCTACTTCTATGTGATCAACCTTTTTAGCTTCCACAAATCAGTGAGACCATGCAGTATTTGATTATCTGTGCCCAACTTATTTCATTTAACATAATGTCCTCCAGGCTTATCTGTATTACTATGAGTGACAGGATTTCACTCTTTTTATGGTTGAATAGTATTCCATTGTGTATATACACTACATTTTCTTTATCCATTCATCTGTAGACAGATATTTAGCTTGATTCTATATCTTGTCTATTGTGAACAGTGCTACTATAGGAAGATAGCTCTTTGACAGACTAATTTTCTTCCCTTTGAATATTTAACTAGTAGTGGAATTTTTTTCACAGCCCTTATTACCTCCCAACACATTTGATGTTTGTTTATTTATTTTCTTTCCTTTCCCACTGGCATTTGGTATACTTGACAAGAAGGACTGATTTGCTCATTTGCTCATTTCTATATTTCAGCACCCAGGACAGTGCCTAGTATATTGTTGGTGCATAATAAATAGATGTTAAATACATCCTTGAAGGAAGAATGAATGAACGAATGAATGATTCTGTCACTCAGATCCAAATGTTGACTCATGATCTAGGCCTAGCCTGTCAGAGTCTCATATTGCATGGCCACAGTGATGCTGTAAGTTTAGCCATGAGAACTATATCAAGCAGATATGTTGATATGGTTTGGCTCTGTGTCCCCACCCAAATCTCACCTTGAATTGTAATAATTCCACATTTCAAGGGCAGAATCATGTGGAGGTAATTGAATCATGATGGCAATTTCCTCCATGCTGTTCTTGTGATAGTGAGTGAGTTCTCACAAGATCTGATAATATTGTAAGGGGCTTCCTCCTTCACTCAGAACTCATTCTCTCTTCTGCCACCCTGTGAAGAGGGGCCTTCTGCCACGATTGTAAGCTCCTGAGGCCTCCCCAGCCATGTGGAATTGTGAGTCAACTAAACCTCTTTTCTTTATAAATTACCCAGTCTTGGGCATTTCTTCATAGCAGCATGAGAACAAACTAATACATATGTACTGACAGTAAATATGTGACACTGCAGAAAAATAACAATATAAATTAAAACAATGAAGCCCATAAAGAGGGTCAGCCTGAGTATCAACCCAACATCAGTGAAGGCACAGCTAAGACATGGAGCTTGATGACCCTAATAACTACTCACCACCATCCCACTATTTTTCTTATGCTAGCTGGAGCTTGTATTTTTCCCTGAAATCAAAATGATTTGAAAGTTTTTAAAATTTATTTCTAAAAGATAATTAGTGCCTGCACTGTAATCAGTAATTGATGAACATACTATAATAGTACTATAATTTTCTTTAATGTTGATCATTTAGAAAATAATATCATATTACTGTGTTTAAATTCTGGTCATGTTTGTATGACTTTTTTGATCATATCATTTATCCATGTTATATACTGAGTCATTATCGCTGAAGTGGGAATTTCAATGCACCTTCTATATAAAATTACTATTGCCAGTCCAAAATTATGCTTATAACCAATTTCTTTTCTCCATCTTTTAATTGATCTAGAGAATTTCAGAACTGGAAGAATCTAAGAATCAAGTTATATCCACTTATTTTACAGTTTAGGACCCTGAGATAGA